GACGGACGGACGGATAAACAAAACGCAAACAATAGCACATTTGTTTAATTCGTCAAAAATGCGCTAAAAAATTGCAAGCATCAGTTCCAAGTGAATCATGACTAAACTCCAAGGCAAAAACTGCTAATAAATTTATAGAGAAACATAATTTCGTTGGGATCTTTAAGAAAATTTCAGGGAAACTTCAAGCTATCATGTTGTCAAGATTTCAACAGAATTTTTAGGGAATGTTAGGATACTTTAAGGAGTATCGCAGGAAGAATCTAAGTAAATTTCTGAAGAAAGAACGGTCTTGTAAAACTTACTAAGAACTCCAAAAGAATTTTAGAAAGAACTTCAAAAGAATCTCAAAAGAATGTCAGGAAATTTTTTGAAAAACCTCAATAGAATTTTAGAGGTAATTCAGCTTATTTTCGGGGCATTCCATTAAGATTTTCGACGAATCTACGAGAAATTTGAAGTGACTTTCAGCATGCTCTTCGAAAAATTTCAAGTGGATCGTTTGGAGATGCAAAAAGTTCAAAGTAGAGCATCTTAGGCAATATCAGGAAAATTTGAAAAGAATTTTAAAAAGGGTTAGACCACAACTTTAGGGTACTGTTTGCCGATTTTTACGTGGATTTCAGGAATGAGAAGTATTTTTTTTGGGGATGATTAGAAAAGTTTCAGGAAATATCAACAGAATCAACGAAACTTTAAAAGAAGGTCATTCACTTTCAAAATTCAAAAAAAAACATCAAGGAGATGGCCGAAGAATGCATTACTTTTTAAATTTTAGACCCTTCACGTTTGAGGTAGTAAAAAAAGAAAAAATAAGCTTTCTAATGACATATCACCTTACCTACATTGGCATTTAAAAAAATTGAAAATGGCTCTCGCACTCAAAAATCATGTGTAAAAAAATTTTTTTAACCTCATAATATGTGAATTAATTTCAAATGAAAGTATTCTCATTTTCATGTCTAGATCTCAAACCGTTTGAGCGTGAAAGCTCATTCCATCCTTAGAGCGACCCTGTAGATATATTGTGAAATTAAAAAAGGAATCCTACATGGTAGGTCTTAGTACTAATCACAAAGCGAAGTGTTGCTGTACCTACACTATGAAGACCATGAAGACATGTTTTCTAAACAAGACAGCAATTAATAAACGTCCCATTAAACACTCAACTAAAAATAATCAGGGAAACGTTAGCTTGTTTAAGATAAATTACGAGGTAAATTACTATAAATTAATATATCCTAAAGTGAATTTGAAAAAAAAACGGCCCATAATTTATTATATTTGGTTAAAACCCAAGAATGACGCGCGTTTCGCATCAACGCAGGATCTCTCTTCTTAAAGTAATATTTCTTGTGTATGTATATTTAAGATGTTCTTCGCCTTTTTGTATTCTTTCTTTTTCATAGTAAATAAATTGTGGTTGTGATTTAGAGACGGTAAGGTGCACGCGGATGGTTTTTCTCACAAGATAAGGGGCGTGGAAGTGCACGCCGCGCCGCACTTGACCCTCGTAATTAGAGCCGCCATATGAAAAGGTCACTAGGATTTACATGCCCCATGGCTAAAACAATACGATACCGGCATCTTAAATGTCTTATAGGTTTTCATAGGTAATCCACGTAGGTGTAAACGTATTTATCGGTCCATCACTAATTATATTCGTATTTACTTTGTTTACCTGCCTTTTAAAGTCGATGCGTATAGTGCAACAATTATCATCCACATCTTATATGTTACCTACATGTGAATAAAAGAGTGAGAGGATTGCCATATTTGTAAATCTGGGTGAGTGATTTTTCCAAAAATTTAGTACGTACTAATTTTGTGCTCCCTTTCGGCAGTAATATCTTGCTACCTGTAAAAATTGCATGAAGAACCCAAAAGACCAAATATTAAAGTAACCCCTAATTTACTACACATATTGTTTTACTTACCATTACTTCAAGCTAAAAAGCTAGAAGAATCCATTGTCTCAAAAACAATAGACGAATCGATATGTAAAAGTAAGTAAAACATTTTTAAAAGGGGGAGAGGGTATTCTTTCATGTGCATTTAAAGGGTTGCTTGTGGTTCCTCTAAACAAAATCAATCAAGCAAACAAAAATATTCGATGTACTACAAAAATGATGCGTAGACGAATTATTATGTATAAGTGAGTTTTTAGAAAAAAAATCTATTATTTTTGAAACGAGGAGGAGGTACACTTTTATGTGCACTTAAGAAGTGGCTTGTGGACCCTATAAACCAACTCAATCAAGGAAACAAAAATACTTGATGTACCACAAAAATTCAAGCCCTCATAATTACCTATAGACGAAGTGTTATGTAAAAGTGTGCATCATTTATACAATAACCACATATCTTCAAAAGTATTTCAATGCAAAGTAGAACAATACTTTAAAAAATAAGTATTCAAATACTTTAGAATGTATTCGAATACTTTCAAAAGTATTCTAATACTATCAAAGGTATTCGAATACAGTAAAAAGTATTCAAATACTTGTCACTCAAATACATTAAACATTTAAAATAGTATACCTACTAGCACAGACAAATTTTAATCTGTGCTACTAGATAAAAGGCTTAATACTACTTAAAAAATCAAGTTATACTTTGTATGGGGTTAGCTTTTTTTATATTTCTATTGTTATATACAAATTTAAGGGGAGTAAAAGCGTATTATTATTATTATATTATTACATAGGAGGTACCTACCAGGACCTTTCNTTGTTTTGATTTCTACGCACCAAAATTAATAAGAAAAAGTGTTTTCCCGAGAAATTTTGGTGCAGTCGATTTTTGGTAAAAAAGGAAGGTTATACACTGCCTTTTTTGAGGCCCGAAAAAAAAATTGTCTCAGATCGACCCGGAAAAAAATTTTCTTATAGAATGTGGCCTGTAGAATCCATAATTTTAAACAGTTCCAAGATTGGGCTACTAGATCAAAAGTTACAGCCCTTTGAATTTTCTTTCGAAATTGGTTTCTAGTCTATAACTTTTGAGAGTAGTCGATTTTTGGTAAAAAAGGAAGGTTAAGTATTCAAATGCCTTGCGAAGTATTCGAATACTTTACGAAGTATCCAGATACTTTGCGAAGTATTCGAATACTAAATATTTGTGAAAGTTTTTGAGTTACAAAAACAAATACTGCTTCCAAAAAAGTATTTAATTACAAAGTATTTGATTGAATACTTTAAAGGATTTGAAGACTAAAAAGTATTTACAAAATCGAATACTGCCCAGCTCTGTATGTAAGTAATGAAAGCCCCTTCCGAATTATAGGTCATTAGACTCGTCGTTTCATTTAAAGATGTGTGGGTTGAGGTTGCAGCAAGAATTATTTTTACATAAAAATGGACCCTCTCGATATAAAATCTTTGTGAAATCATTTATTTTGCGGTTGATGGGGAGTACAAACTTTCGTTGGCACATTTTGTATGCCTTTCGTCTACATATAACTGACATAATTTTTAGACGTTCATTAAAACAACGTCTTTTGTGCTTTGCAATGTTAACTCAATATATCGTTTCAAAACAGCCTCTTGTACTCCTCGAAGGCTCTCATTTCCTTTTCAGTCAGAATTATGTAAAAATCCCTTTATCCAGACAAATACCTAACGTACAATTTTTGTAAATGAAAAACAAGCATGTAATAAGTAGGTAAATATACCAATCTAAATGGGTGGCAAAACTCAAATTGTAAGATTTTTTTGATGCACTTTTCCATAATTTTAAAATTCTGGAATTTTGTTTTATACCGAAGTCTCTCTTTAACCGCAAGGGTAAATAAAAATGATTGTGTATTATAATAACGTATATCATTCTTATTAAAACAGTGCGCGGGGCGGAAGCACGGAATAAAATGAAGTCCAGAACAGATAACAATACTGTTTCCAAGGAAACGATGAAAAAGTTGGCTATTTTGACGTCTTAAATTCAGAATTGTCCACAGATTTATAATGATTTATATGGTAACATAAAACTTTGTATTATAGTATTTAGTCGTGAAATTAATATACCTTCATTTAGGTTACCCTAGCCGTTATTTAATTCAACTGAACCCCACCATCATAATCCCCTGTTTCAGTTGATATGACTGTCCTATAAACAAGTTTATTTTATATAAGAACAATCCTTTTTTTAATTTTCCAGCATGAGAGCTAATCATTAAATTAATTGGACGCAAGCCTGTTGAGGGCCCAGAATAAGAGAGGGATAATAAATAAATAAATAAAAATTTATGTTTTTATTTATTTTTCTTATTTATTTTTATTTATTGCCCCTCTCATGTTCTGGGTCCCCAACAGACTTTCGCCCAATTACAAGTCACCCGCCAAATGCTTTTTAGGGGTGCCCCTGCTCCTGCAGAAAGTCTTAAGTATACTACTCCGGTATTTACCTTACGAATCAGGAAAACTGCAGGGGTAGCCGGCAGAATGCTCGAAACTGATCTAAGGAAATTCCCATCTCTGCCACAGATGAAAAATTCGCCTCAACCCAGGTTACTTACTGGAACCACACACAAACATTTGCTAGGGAGTTGCTTTGGTACAAATTTAAAGCTTTTATAATAGGCACTGTAATGTTAAAACATTTGTATTTCCAATTATTTTTCTTTTTTCAAATAATAAAATAGCGATCGATCGAAAATTTCAAAAAAATCATTTTTTGATAACCGCCCCATCGATTTTTGAAAGCAAAACATTTATAAAATCCTTACACTATCTGCTACAACATTTGTCCTAAACATTTTTTTTTCAATCTATCCTGCTAAGGGGGGCCATTTTGGAAATCGAAATTGAAAACATGTTTAGTACAAATGTAGTAGATGGTGTAAGGATTCTATAAATGTTTTGGTTTCAAAAATCGATGGGGTGGTTATCAAAAATTGTTTTCTGGAAATTTTTGATTCATCCCCGTTTTATTATTTGAAAAAATAAAAAATACAAATATTTTAGAGAGCTGAAAGAGAGTTCTAAAAATGTTTGTTTTTTTTAATACATAGTCCATAAAATAAGAGTAAAAATTGGAACTCAGAAAAGTTGTTTGTTTTAATGATTTCTAACTGCCGCTTTCGGATGTAACGACTTAGAATTAACACCCTATATAAACACAAGCGGTGGATTGCATAAACTCCTATGCAAAATGATTCTGCTACATTTCTTTCACATCACAGGAGATATCTCATGGTATTTCGCGCAAATACTTTGTTTCATACTCTTCTTGGTCATAACAGGAGTATTTTACACTAGAGAAAAAACCTTTGTCATGAAATCTAGCGGACCAACAAAAAATTTCGTAATATCTTTGAAACCCTTACGGGTCGTTCCGAAAGTAAATACCTCCTATTTTTTGCACTGAAACCACAGCCGATACACAAATCACAACAACACAACCAATTTCTTTCGACGGACGGATAGACCGACGGACAAAACTCAAACATAGCACATTTTTTTTAAATTCTTAAAAATGCATTAAAATGGTATCTATGATGAATACCTATTTATAGTAGATATTAGTACTTACAATAAATTATGATTATGATTTATGTAATTGCATTTTTAAGAGGTTTGCACAACTCACTTTTAAAATGTACGCTCTGTGTCTATATTTACTTCATTATCCCTTTCAATTTTAGGAATGAACGTCACTCCACAACTGAAAAGAAGGTCTTTTAGTAATTGTACAAAATTTCAAGGTTTTTAAGGACTTTAAGGAAATTCTTCATTCACGGAAAGAGGAAAAAAATTTCCACGAACAACAATGATCAGCGTTTCACAGTCAACCTCTCTTGTCTTGTCTTGCATTTTCGGCCTGGGGGAGCTTTTTCATTGACTTGGTGGGTTGCTTCGTTTCTGGGTCATACCCGTAACATTATCACTTGCACCATGTAATGACTTTGGCACGACCTCACGCCTGTCTCTTCTGAAAGTCCGTCGAAGGGATGAGCACGACCTTTATCTCACATCCCACTTAAAGGGACAACCATTTGAAAACTTCTGTACGGCAGCTGATAGTGTATGATTCCATCTTATTACAGCCTCTATTCCTTTCAAACTTAAAATTTAAAAGTTAGAACCTCAGAATGTCCTCGTAATTAATCTGGTGAAACTGAGGCACTTAGACAAAGTGGATATCTGGATCCGATTGAGTTATAAGGTGAGCTCGACATTGAACAATAAACGAAAATGCCAGTTTTAGGAGCTCATTGTCCCGATCTTGGTTGTCGCCAGATAAAGCTTCACGATGTGGTTTCGTTCCATTCGAAACAAGCGAAACAAAATTAATCGCACCCCCCATTAAGCTTTTATGAACAAATTTCCTCCCAATTGACGTTTCACGTTCAAGTTTATAATATAATTGTACGACCTCCTAATTAATTCATAACTAAATTAATGTAATGATTGCCGCTAGATAATTTAGATAAACGTTTTCGTTAATGCATTTTCTGTTTTGTTTGTCAAGCTGTTGTGTTATAACGCACTCCGCGCAATGATGGACCTCGACGATCTGCTTACGGAAATTGGTCAGTTTGGTAAATACCAAAAGTCTGTCCTGTGGCTCGTGCTGTTACCGTGCGTCTTTCCGTGCGGTTTTCACGCGTACAACCAACTGTTTATGGCCGCAAAACCAGACCACTGGTGTCGAGTGCCAGAATTGGAAGATTTGAGCTATGAAGTCGCCAAAAATCTAAGGTGAGTGTCAAAATCTTAGTTTTGACCTGCTTAGAGAAAGGGAGCTAAGTGTTAATTTTGATCGTAACTGACCATTTTCATTTTCGAAACCAAAGGCGAACAAAGTTTGTGTGTGGACACCAGACTGTAGCCTTACGTTCCCTTGGATATGGAAAAGTTGACGTTTCACCATTGATCATGAACGGAAACGATGTATTTGCTTCAAAGCAAGAGGCGTGCAAACATTTAAGAACAGATTTTGTTCCAATCGTGGGCTATTTTCAGCATGTACGAGGGGTCGTTTTTATATTCCCGGACTAGACATAAAAACAAAAGACTAGAGCAACAACAAAATTGTATTTTTCAATATAATCTCCTGCTTTTGACTACAGGTATAACACCGTTTCAATTTTAAAAACGTCTTTAGTCCAGTATAAACATGTTTATTTGGTTTTTCCGCACCATGGCCTCCAACAGTTCGTCATTGTCCCTAAATTTTGTCCCCTTTAGTTTCGGTTGTATAGTGTCAGTTTACTTCAAATTAGTTTAATTGACAGATCTCAGAAAGTGGATGCGACGTAATACTTTCCCGTTACGTACTATCCTTATAATCAATCAGCAAAGTCCCCTGACAGTCCCAAAAAATGGCGTCATTATTTTTCTTGACTCTAAACTTCTAGAGCCAGAGCCCTTAACATGGCACTGCATCATAATCAAAGTAGGTACCTAAGTTTTTGAAATATTTTCCCCTCTTTACTAAATCACCGTAATTTTTTTTACACATAAATTTCAGAAATTATAAACTGAATCAAATTACGGACCTCTTGTAGTATACGATCTTCTATTGAAATTGAAAAGCTTTTAGAAATCTGGCTGATCCCTCCCGCCACCTTTATCCTTTCTCTCCCTTCCACAGATAAATTGATATCCAACAGCAACAAAATGATAAATCCGTCTCATACAGAGGAAAATAAAAACAGAAAGAAAAGAGGCTTCCAGGGGAAAATTACGCTTCCATCCCCCCAAAAAGTAACATTTACGTTTGCTAGTGCATTTTAACTTACTTAGAAGAAAATAGTGGTGTTTTACTGCTGTGTATGCGTGTTATGGTCACACACAGCATTACAGTTAGCGCGCTTGTATTCACAACAAAATCGATCTTCAGCTTCGCTAAAAGTTGTTCAATCGAGCCGATTCATTTGTTAATTATTATCCAACCTTGTAAACCCGTTACAAGGAAAATTCTATCAAAAAAGCCACTCGAGTCCCCCTGTGGCGAAGAAATGATTATGAAATGCATGTTAAATTGGTGTTAGCTCATCTAATAGAATTATTTCATCAGAAATGCCACCATTGTTGTTAAAAAAGCCATGTTCGATTAGTAATAAAACCTATTCCTTTGTTGTTCTCTTTTAAAACTAAAAAATCAATTAGGATCACAATATGTAACATACGTTAGGCGTTCGGTCTAAAAGAAATTGTATTTCGCAAGTCAATGGATCATTTTTCGCCTTGAAATCAATCATGTGATTCATAGGAAGATACTTATGTGTTAAAATTACAATTTTACGGTGTGTTTTGCACTTAGTAGGTCCTATGAAATTAAACTCTATAGAACTTGCGAGAGATATTCGAACGGGAGTGCCAATCTCGTGCTTATGGGGCACTAGCATTACCATCGATAGTAAAGCAATTTCCTATAATACAGTTCGCGATAATTAGGTAATCTATGGATCAAGTGCCAATGTTTCAAGAATGAATTGTCGGAAGAGGGTAGTGACAAAGAGAAAATGGATCCTCTGGGACACCTCTATTGGTAACGTCAGGATGAATACCTCGGGAACCGAGTTGGAGAAGGGTACACGCGAAAGAAAATGAAAGCGTTTGGACAAGACACCTATTCATGACTTCAAAATGAATACCTGTATCGAAGCACCCGTTTTCCCCCTTGAAATTACATACTTTCATGGTCACCCGGTTCGTAAACACCTTGTATCTAGCAACGCTTCGTTTTGAAAAGTGGCGTCCGTTCTAGGGGTTGAAGAAGGTAATTGATATAATTTGTTTTGTTTCAGCCGCCGTTACTGTAAACAAAAGCTAGAATATAATTCGTCGTTTGCAACCGTTTCCGTCAAGAGATTTCAATTAACTTTGTTGCGTTCGAAAGCTCTTGTCATTTAGAGGACTTTCAGCTCTTTTATGTCATAATTAGCAGGTTCTAGTTTCTATGGTATACGAAAACGCACATTAAAACTACAAGATCATGTAGGTTTACGCCTGTATCAGTTTGATAAGAGACCTTTTGCCAACCACAGAAATTCAAAAGACAATAGAGATTAATTAGAGGTATTTTTAACAAAAAGAATTATAAAATGATTGGTATTTAAATAAACAAGAAATCTGTTTTTAAACTTGCAAAAATATGCTTAATGCCAGATGTTTATTATTGCAGTATACCAATGGAAGAAAGGGACGGCGAAATGCGCTTCAGTCAGTGTACAATGTTTAATAAATCATCAACTGGCGAATTCAACTCTTCTAATCGTGTAACATGCCAACATGGATGGATTTATGACAAGACTGTTTATAAAAATTCGGTAACAACCGAGGTAAGTCGCTCAGTAATGCTCGACATGCAAGGCAACGATTTTATAGTGGAATTTGGTATGCGAGGATAACATTTTATCGACGCTAGCTCTGGTAGCATTTGGCACCGGGGGTCTGATTGGAAACTACATCTTCGGTTACATTCAAGATCGACACGGCCGAAAATCGGCTTTCTTCATTTACTTATTCATCCAGACAGTTTTTGGGATCGCAACAGCTTTAGCCAGCAGCTTCGGTATATGGGTTCTTTTTCGTTTCGGTGTAGGATTCACAATACCATCAATTCTTTCAACGCCCAGCATTTTAGGTGAGTAGGTACTACGACCTTTGTATCAAAACTGTGTCGTGCTTTTTACAGCTATTGAATTGGTGGGGCCCAAATACAGGTCGACTGTAACCGTCTTAATAAACATCGCCTACTCAATTGATCTCATTGTCTTGTCAATAATTGTTTGGGCGGTACGAGATTGGAGGCAACTCGCTTTGTTTACCACGGTACCATTTATAGCGCTCTTTGCTTTGTATTGGGCGATGCCGGAAAGCCCACGATGGCTAATGGCGCGTGGCGATTTTGTAAGAGCGGAAAAGATATTGAATAAAATGGCAAGGTTTGACGCACTAAGCGCTAGAAAGTACTCGACAAAGATATTTTAGGGTCAACAAAAGAACCGCTTTCGTCTCCGAAATCAGGCATCTGAACACTGGAGATCTCAGCATTAAGTCGAATGACAAGGCTGATTATGGAATGGTAGATCTATTTAAACTCCCAAAACTACGCTTGAAAACGCTTATAATCACTTTCATTTGGTTTACAAACACGAGCGTTTACGTTGGACTCTCGTACTACGCACCCGCCCTTGGGGGAGATGAATTTTTCAACTTCTTCCTGGCGGGTGTTGCCGAACTTCCCACGTACATCTTCCTATGGCCCGCCATGGAACGAATCGGGAGAAGATGGATTTTATTCTCCACAATGGTTGTAGGTGGAATCGCTTGTACTTCTACGCTAGTTATCAATGATGGTGAGCGCTCACTAGTCCCCACTAATCTACGCCAAAACTTTCAGCTACAATAAGGTTGGGCCTATACTGCGTAGGAAAAATGGGCATATCAGCTTCGTTTGTGGTCTTGCCGCTGATGGCTTCCGAAACCTACCCTACGGTTGTGCGAGGTATTGGAATGAGCTTAAGTTCAGTTGCCGGAATGCTCGGACCTGTGTTTATTCCACTTATCAATTATTTGGTAACAAAGACAAATGACAATTATTACCTTAGGGATTCCTTTTAGGGGGCTCGCACTTTAACATTACCGTTAATTATTATGGGAGCATTGTTGATTGCCGGCGGATTAAGTTCGCTGTTACTGCCCGAAACGCTTCGCAGAAATCTCCCTCAAACCCTTGAAGATGCGGAAAAAGATGGATTGGTGGATTTCAGATGGTGGCGTAAGTACGAGAAACGCGAATTGCAAGAGGATTAACCAATGGTTACCTTAAACTGTAAATAAATGTACGTACTGTGGAAGGAATCTAAAAGTGTGATAAGCAAGGACTATGCATGCTGACCGATGTTCAGGGCCACAAAGCGCTTTAGCTGGAGCTTTCCTCAGTATAACAATCTTCATAAAGTAAAATAGTAAACCAAGAAATAAAAAAGTCCTCTGGTCATTACAATAACGTAATGATAGTTGCTTATAATATTAATTTTAATTGCTTTTAGCGGTACTTACTTTTTATATGCAAGTAGGAGGTACTTGTGTTAAGTGATTGGATTGAGGAAAATAAAATACAGTAAATATGACATAAGTTTGGTTTAAATGTTTACATATACAGGGTGGGCCATTTTCACCATTAAACTCGTTTAACAATTCCTTCATCCCCTAACACTATGACTATAACCATTTGACGTAACTCTTTAAGTACAATGACAGGGTGTGGCAAGTGGCATATCAATGCGGAAAGAACAGTATTTTTAGCGCATTTTTGGAAAAAATACGCTATTATATTTGTTATGGCTGGCTGACTGGCTGTCCGGCTGAGATCTCAACAATTACAATTGCTAGAGACTTGATTTTCACTAAAAGCTTTCTGTTATAGTGTAGATGTGCAGGCTCTAGTCTATTTACTCGTGAGATCGATAATTTAATTAATTAATTAATAAACTTTGCTAATGAAATACTGATCTGCTTTACCAAAAATGCGCTTTCATCATGCATATGCTGATTTACAACTTGTTTTTAGATTTAATCGTTTTACGTTCCAAAATTCTCCACTCTCGCATCCCTGTGTAATTAAAAATATTAGCAATTGGTGTCCTAGCAGCCAGGAATGGAAACGTACGCGAGACCATTTAACCATAACCGGTGTCAATCTCAATGAAATACTGATTCCTAGTGAACCGTTAGCATTTGCTTTACCATTTCCAAAAATAGCATTATGCATGTGTAAATAATCTGTATACAGGGTGGAAATGTTGTCTGAATATATCTTCAAAACATCATTTTTAATAGGTACAAGCTTTTTATGATATCCAAAATTATAAAAAGTTTGCCGCCAGTCTACGTACTTTACATGTGTGGTCAGTGGCGTACTTTTGCATGGTGGCAGAGGGGCATATTTGATTAACTAGCAACCACCAGTTTTATTGCATATATTCTTAAAGTGCACACCTTTTGTGCTGCTATATCCAAAAAAGTGTAGGTATACTCTTTAATACTACTAATTTAATTAAAGCTAGTAGTTGCCATTACATCGGACCATTGCGCACAAATTGAAAGTACCTTTTCGAGAACCCTGTGCGAAAAAAGAAGGAGGGGGAAAACTGCAAAACTTTTGACCTTCCTCCAGTTTTTCCTCAATACCATTTTTGCCTTGCGTACTACGGCAAAATCTTCTCTATACGTTTTTGTAGAGCGTTAAATTTTCAATAGTTTTGACTAGGTAGTCAGTCATGTTTGTGTGTAAATTACTTACCGAAATATGGCGCTTCGAATAAATGTCATTTTTCAAAATTCGCTAAAAATGCTGAATCCAGATGAGATGTTGTAATTATGATTTAGTAATAGAGATTAGCACTTTTGGCATAATTCAAATATCCAGCTGCATGAAAGTAGGGTATCATTTCCTTGACGCAATCTAGAGTTTCCAATTACCCATTCTTTCAGCATTCTTCAGCAGCATGCGTTCTTCTATTTTCATCCCCGATCGTCTCCACGCATCCTCGCCTTTTCGACAATTTTATTAGCCATTTCGAGTATAGTTACTTTAGCCGAAGCACTGCGCCTTTCCAAGGTTAACTCTGAAATCATGAGTGATAGCTTCCTCGCAAAAAATATGCGTTGGTGAACTCGAATTTCGTAACTTGTGACCGCCGCGCCGGGGAGGTACAAAAGGATCGGATATCCAAGACGGGTAAAGGCAGCAATCAATTCCTTATCTTTGTAGCTTACTATTTCTAATAATAAATCGTAGTACACTATTACAGTCCAACACTACCTTATTGATATGCGTGCATTGAATGTCAACTTTTGGTCAAACAGCACTCCGAAGTCCTTCCGTATTAGTGTATTTGTGTCTATTAGGTAATTATAGTAGCTGTAGAATGTTGCGTTTTACACGAAAAAGTCATAATGTACCTAGTACTTGGCAGATTTAAACTGCAGGCCATTAGCAGCACGCCATTCTTGCAAATTTACAAGATCGCGTTGCAGAAGTTCACAGCTTTCTTCGTCGTTAATGACCTTAAATATCTTCAAATAATCGGCATATAAAAGAAAGCGATTACTTAGCATATTGCACAGAGAATCGAAATATATAACAAAAAGCAATGGGCCAAGATTAGACCCTTGAGGTACACCACGAACATATGGAACACCCGGCTAGATAGTCAAAATTTTTTTTAATTTAATGCTCGACAAAAAAGTATATACAGTGATATTCATTTAGAAGTAGAACTATTTTCTATGTCTAGTTTTAAATGACTAAAACTGTTCTGAAGGACGCCTAATTTTATTCAACCAAAATAACTTCTTAAAACAAATAGAAGATCTGGCTATTATATTAATTAATTTGAAAATTGTTGTATTGAGTTCCGTATTTTAATTTCGTGCGTGTGCGATGTATTCAACTGAAGAAAAAGTGCCGGTAATAGTTTAAGTAGGGTAAGATAACTATTTTCTGTGTTGATCCTTTAAAATTAGTGGTTATTTCAATGCGATCTACACAACACACCATAAATACCTAACCTTCAATTTTAAGCGGATGTGATACTGAATGTTTTAATTTTTGTGGAAAAAATCCCATATAAAACTTAAGGCAAAGGAAATATTGGCCGAACTTAATATCTCTTCATCATAATCTAAAATCATATTGTTTACTGTCGTTTTTTTATTTAAAATCTAGAATCACAATGCAAAATACTTGCGCATTTATTTCGGTTGCATAAAATTAGGCGTCTTTCAGAAACCTTTTTGTCATTTAAAAGTAGACATGGGAAATCCCCATGTCTACTTCTAAATGAATAGCACTTTAGATGCTTTTGCCATGGGTTGTAAGAGAAAAAAGTTATTGAGAAAAAAACCGGAAGGTCAACAATTTTGCAGCTTTCTCTCCCCCTTCCGCCTTCTCTTTTTGCACAGAGTTCTCGAGGTCAAAAACTTGAAAAAATATTGAATAGCTATCCGTAAATAGCATCATTCACTTCCGACATTTTTCTATCTGAACACTACCCGTCGTCGCCTGGACAATCTAGTATGTCTCTTGGAAATGTTCAATTGATAACGTATTGAACGTTGAAGCAATTTGTTCCTGTAGTTATATTTTTATTAAAAAGGCGAATGCGTTTGATATGAAATGCTTCTTTTGGCCTGTAAGTCTGTCCTGGACTGTTCATACGATACCTCAGAAAGGAAAACAACTTGCTATTCCGTTTTTAGGAATCGATAGCTAGGTCAGCCTTTGTGCATGCGTTCGAGGTTTTGGTCGCGACATCACAGGTCGCCAATACCGATAGGTGCTCTAATATCGAAAGAATTAGTGCAAAGGTTCAGAGGAGATACGTTTTTGATTTTATAACTATATAACTACATCGGCGTTGGAATGTGACGACCCCATCACTCATCACCTTTCGGTGATGCACTCAGTCACCCATGACAATACATGACGTAGGCAGCGAGTCACTACTTACCCCTTTCCTTGAATGCTCCTTTAGCCGATGCTTCTCTCATAGAGGGTAAAATTTAATCAGTGGAAAGATAACTATTTAAAGACTACTACAAACATGTGAGTTTATTAGCCTTTACATGTGCCCAAGCCACTCCCAGTGGTTTCTAAAATATGTCCCAGTGCTCTTATTCTCATGAAGAATCTCTTCAAGAACCTTTTAAATGTCCTTAAAAGTCTTCAACAGTAATGAGAACTCTTTTGGTGTCTTCTTGCGCCTTTGGGAAGTTTTTGTTAGTCTTCAAGAGTTTTTATATGTCCTTGAGACATTTTTTGGTATTTAAGAGGATTCATGAGTCAGTAAATGCTTTCTATCTGAAACGTTTCGTTGATATAATATCTACAACCTTTTAATGGTCTTCAAAACCTCGATCCTGAAATCCTGAACAGCCTTTGATAGTCTTTAACGGTTTTTAAAAACTGTTAATAATCTTTAAGGGTCCCTGTATAAAAAGCTTTTATACAATAGGGAATATGCATGTATTTTTTAAATTTTTTAATCGCTTTTTTACATCGTTCTAACATAGTAAAAAGTGTAAACACAGTTAGAACAATTCAATTTAACTTGTAAAATAATATTTAAAACGTTGACTTTATTCGTTGTGTTTGAACGCGCGCCGCCCCATTTTCAGCAGGCCTTGGATGACGTCACAAGCCACGACCAGTATTCGTTTACTTTTAGTGTTGAGTTATTTATACAGATTTTCAGTTGTAATAGCTATTCAGACCATGGAAAAAGCTAAAAAACCATTTTATAGGTATTGTCTTGTACCAAAGTGCAAAAACACTATTAGAAATATTCCCGATCAAGTGATTTTTGCAGTTCCAAGAGGAGGACTTCCATAGCGTTCTCAATTTTTTTTCAGTTAGTGAACCCTAAAACAACCTTTTTCAACAATTGTGCCGTTGATTCTTGCAAATCGACGGACTGTGCAATTTTTTTTCAAAATCCCAAGAATTTCCTTAGTTAATAAATGGAATAATTTCCAAAATACCACAAAAAATGTAAATCTATAGTAGGCGAACGGAAAGCTCTCGGAAAAACCTACATTAAAAAAAATACGTACAAATCCAAGTTCAGGAGAAATCAGCTTTTGGCTTCGGATCGGGTCGAACGATTCTTTAAAGCGAGAACTTTTTTATGCTTCTATTAGATCAAAATGTATGATTTTTATTAATCAGAGCGCCAAGGGTCTATTATAGAGTTACCTTCCTTGTTATATTTCGGGTCATTTGTTAGTTAAACTAACAAAATTCCACAGTTCATCAATTTGAAAGACGTCGGGACAATTGTTGGAAATGGTCGTCTTAGGATTCCACCATATCTGTAAAAAAAAATTAGAACGCTCTGGGAGTGGCCCAGTTTGAAAGACCAAGCATCGTTTTGTAAATTTGTTTATTTAATTATGCAATAACTATAAAATCTCCGGTGATCATATTGTTTTGTTATCAAAAGAAGTGACCAAATATGAATTTTCAAAAAGATCGGATGAATTTTACCTAGTAGGTAATAACAAATTCATAATCTTCGGGATTGCTTTTTTTTATTTTTCCATAAAAATAATAACATTTGAAAATGAACGTTTAAATCCGATCGCGTGGCATTTGACGTCACTTTCATTCGTCCAATAGTGATGCGTTTCGCAAATTTGAAGTTCTTTTGCTTATTTTGCACTTTTGAATTAACATTTTTTGCAATTAAAAACAAAATAAATAAGAAAGTAATGGTTTAAGTATAATGCCTGCCAGGACAATAAATATTCGCGGGAGAAAGAATCAAGTAAATTTAAACAAAGAGTACGTTATATACTCTTTGATTTAAACTACATGCATATTCGCTATTAAAGAATCTTTTCTTTGTGAATCACCAACGGTTTCTAAGAACTTCTTTGAATCTACGGAAGTCATATAAAGGTTTTTAGAGTATTTGAAAACCTTTAAACGTCTCTATGGACCTCCAGAAGTTTAGAAGACTCTCCAAAATACTCTAAGAAGTCTAAGGGTCTTCTAAAACCGTTGAGGGCCATTGTTTGTCTTCAAATAGTCTTTATTAGTTTGTGTTGAGGAGATACATTCGGATTTGCATACTAACCTACCTTTACTATGCTTTAAATGTATAAAAATATTCGTGGTATACTGGTTGTCTAAATCATCGCAACGACTAAATATTACATTTTTGCGTTTGAGACAATTATTTTGTACTTCGTTGCTATTCACATGAAATGTAATGAAAAAAAGAACGCTTGTCCTACTTTAGCCAACACATTTTTGTGAGAATATAATAATCCCAAATTTAAAATGTCATGTTACGCCGCTGGGTAATGACAATTAACTATAAAGGTTTTATTAATTGAATATTTTTTACATAACGGTGACGCATCTTATTACGTTTAACAATAAATCACCGAGCTCTCCATACTTGCATAATGGTCCTAATAAAAAATAGTACGAGTGATAACTGTTTTTAAATGATTACAATGGAAAGAAAATTGCGGTAATTGAGACACTGCGCACGAAAAATCAGCGCCCATCTCTCTTTTTTCGATCACCTAACCTTGTTGCTTCACGGTGGTGTATGTGCTACTCGCCCAACTATTTTGCTTACGGTCATTTCTAAGTTTTTTTCGGTTTTTAAAAAGAAGTTCGTGAATATTACGGTTAATTTGTTATTATTGAAATGTACGAAGTGAATAGTGCGAACTGCATAACGTAGGATAAGTACAGAAACTGATTGTGTCTCATTATTTTTGTTTGATCTGCATGATCTCATCATTAAGAAGTGACAGTCCATAAACGATACCAAAGTAAAGTATGATAAGGTTATTGTTATGCACTAAAAGAATCGGCTAGAAAATAGAAGCATGAAGAAGCAATTTTTCCGCGTCAAGCAGCTGGCCGATCAAACTTTCCTAAAGTGAGCGGTTTGTCGATCTTCCCTATAATACTAACACTTGTCATTTGTAGGGCTGATAAAAGTGACGTACTGAATCATGATGAATTGCGAATTGCCGATCATAAGGTCGAATATTTTCGAACTACCCTAACGAATATTAGCAAACGTCTTCCGACAACTCAAACTTCTGAAGCCGCAGGGGACAAGCGCATGGTAACCCTAACTCTTGAGGCTCCGAGTTTGTTATCATAGCTTTGTAGAAAAAGTATGCCGAATACCAACTGGCGCAAGTCTTGCAGGAGCAAGGAATGCGAAATGGCGAGACCGAGTGCAGATTACTCCAACCGATCATTAAGGAATGTGCTGCAGCGGAATTGGAGTTGGCGAGAGAGCAAGCCGATCACGAGTTGAAAGTCGAACAAATTGTCAGCACCCCCTTGCAGAAGATCATCGATAATGACCTGCCTAACATTATAAAGCACAAACGTAACTTAAATAAGTATATTTTAGACCGGGACTCTGCTAGTAATCGTTATAATGTAAGTTGCTCTCTTCCTGTCAAGGGGAATGCTATTGCTTAATCTGATGGCAATTGTTTAATTCAGATCTTACGAATGAAAGTAGCACACTACGTAATTTTCTAATGTAGTGTCTCGATTGAATGGATATTGCCATTGGTCTCTGATGGAAATGTTTAAACTGCTAGCACAAGGTGATATCCAATCCAATGTTGACATTTGTTGATGGTTATATACAGGGTGTTAACATGGCAAAAGTACTCTCTATCATTTGGTAAAAATGGTTGCCAAGGGAAGTCATAGTTCATGTTTGATTTGGTAGCCCCCAAAACCCAAAAATTATGTTTCTTTCTAATCTTATGCTTGGCAACCATTCAAAAACAAGGTTTTTTTATGGACAAATGATGCTCCTCCCCCAAATTAAATTAAATTATTTTATCGAAAAAAACTCTTAGTAAAAAAATACAAAGGAATTTGCTTCCTGAAGATTGGTGATCCGTCAAACGCCAAAATGAAAAAGGGTACACTTTTCAGGGACAAAAAAAAATATAAAATGCACCCCCTAATTACAGCTCCAATTGAAAATAATCATTGTCACTTTACAATTAATTTTATGCATGTACGGGTGATATGCTTTAGAAATTTAAGTAAGTTTTGAAAAAAATAGCGTTTGAAGTACAAAGAGCATTTTTGTATTTTTTTTTTCAAAAAACTGCCGTTTTTTCAAAATAACTCAAAAACTATTCTTTGTTGAATGCATACTTGTAGGTTTTGCTTTTCTGAAAATATAAAAAAAAATGGTTCTTCTTGTATAACAATTGAGTCAGACATGATTGTTTAAAGTCTCCATACGTTCGTAAATAGTAACTTGTTCAATTACATTCAGTTCAAACGTTTTGAAAAATAAGGGCTCGAAGAACATTGACAATTGTCAAAGTCGAGGTCAAAGTAATGATACAATTATGGACCAAAAGGCAGAACGATGAGGATGAAGCAGGCGTAGAAAGGAATGAAGAAGTGAAGAGGATTTTTATGTTTTTTGTAATAGAATTCAAAAAATGAATTCCATATAAAATAAAATTTTTATTTTAATTCTTTTTTATTGAAAATTTTTATCAATATGGTTTTGTTAGCAAACGCTGTTTTATATTGCTTTACTGTGTAGAATGTTTTGCTAAGTTGTAAGAATGTAGTTGGATGAGCAAATGATTGTAATCAGTTGAGGTATACAGGGCGCTTAAAAATACCAGGGCGAACCACTATGATTCTATTTGGTAAATGACTTAACGGTATAAAACTAATCTTGAAAACTTTAAAATGATTAAAATTCCTCTCATTAAATAAATCAGACAAAATTGTTTTTTCTAGGAATTTAGAGTCGATGAAGAAGGATTTTGGCCTGTTCATAACCCCCTAGATTAAAAAATAAAATTACACTATTCTTTCAACCCCCCCCCCCCCTCGTCGTATGCATTATCAAAAACAAGTATCAGGTGTAAAAGTGTATAGAATCCAAAACGTAAAAATATACAGGGTGTACCAGTTAATTTTCGAAATTTTGAAGCGATATAAAAATATTACTTTGAGCATCTAATTCGTCATATACAATATATATACTATTTATATGTATAATTTGGCAATGATGACTTTCGAATCTAATTTTTTTAAGGAAGCTAGGGAAAAGTTTGGTTGGAAACTAATAATGGTACATTCAGTGGTGAAGAAGATACACAATATCGCTAAAGGAATTTCTTTGAAATATTTTCGGTTATCTCGTGAGGTTGACCATGATATTTCAGAACTGGATTTTCAAAAAAAGGTAAAGGTGGCGTGCCCTTATTTTAAAGCGGGTGCGGTTATATTTTATGCTATCTAGATTTTGTTCTAGTGATATATTCTACTTCTACTATCGAAAAGGTTCTAGGTCATCAGCTCATCACAGTGGAAAAAAATTATTGTCAGCATTTATGGTTGGTACGCTTTTTCTGTATGTCTTATCTCGAGGCATCATATGGACAATCTATCGGAAAATGACGACCAAACCAAAATATTCCGTATTGGAACAGTTCAACTTTTCGTATTTCAAACGTCAAAACATCCTTTCCCTTTTTATCTCTAGTTAAAGGTGTCATTGGATTAATCATTGAAAAGGAAACAACTGCAACATTCATTTTTTCAAAAATCTAGAAACCCAATCCCCAAGCGTTGATTGGCCAGTGCCCAGTTAACAGATTTTCCAAAGCATTCCCCTTAAGTTTATCATAGTTGTTAGTATATCTCCCTCACCGAAGTCTGTTGCAGGCGTCAAAAAACGGCAACAACAAGGAGTCGCTTAAAGATGACATGGAAGAAGCGGACACTAAGGTGGAGCAGCACCGAGACACATTGGCTGTGGAAATGTTCAGCTTACTGCGGAAAGAATCCGAAATAGCCCAACATGTACTACAGTTACTTAAACTTCAGAGGGCCTATCACGAAAGTGCCTTGAAAAGTTTAGAAAAAATTATTCCTAGTCTTGAACAAAAAATAGGTATTCCATTGCTCTCTTAAATTGCATGCGTGTTTACAATTCACTTGTTTTTGTAGGAGATAGTTCGGTTAAGACGGTCTTTGGCATACCGCTCGAGGAACATTTGCGCGTAACAAATCGAAAGTTGGCCTACCCCTTGGAGATTTGCGTCTGCGCGTTATCGGACGGCGGTATGTCGGAGGAAGGTTTATTTCGGGTGGTCGGTAGTGCATCCAAAGTGAAACGTTTAAAATTAGCGATCGATTCGGGCTGTTTCTCGTTACCCCTACTCTCCGAGTATAGAGACGTTCACGTCTTGGCGAGTACTTTAAAGTCTTACTTACGCGATCTCCCCGAACCCTTATTAACGTATAGCTTATACGACGAGTGGATGGACGCCATGCATTATCCCGAAGAGCAGAGGGTGGCGGTCGTCCAAAAAATACTTAAGAAACTTCCGCAGGCCAATAAAGATAACTTAACTTATTTAGTACAATTCTTCGCGAAACTATCGAAAAACGCCGAAAATAAAATGACAGCCTCAAATATCGCGATAGTCATTTCGCCTAATTTACTATGGAGGCAAAATATGGAGATGGACATGCATATGGCGAACTGTATGACGCTGAACATGATCGTCGAAATGTTCATATCCAACGCAGAGATACTATTTTCGGATAGCGTCAACAGTTACCTGACGATGACCCCGGCCGAGCTGTGTCCGGAGGAAATGGAGAAAATTAGTCACGAATCGGGCGGAGAGTTTGTCTCCGGTAATTACAGCATGGACCATTTTAGTCATCCGGAAACGGCCAGTCCTAAACCTCAAATACGGGCGCGTAAGTCGAAATTGGCGCCAACGCCACCTGTCACGCTGATGAGCAAAAGTGACGAGTACAGCACCGAACACGTGCTGCCATCGTATCCGTCGGGGAGTACTACTCTAAATAGGTCGCATAAGTCCAAGGCGAATCAGGAACATAAAGTGAAAGTCTTGGTAAGTATCTTGATTAGCTGAAAACACGGTGCTACACACATATTAAGCAACAAGGTCGTGAAGTTCTCTACAAAATTGGTAAATTTAGCAATGTATTATTAACGAGAGACAGCTTTCTTTAATCTTTTTTTTGCGAATTCGAATGTTTAACTCTACTTTCACTTTTCAAGCACCGTATTGCACAAGGTTTCGTCCATAGAATATAGAAGGTAGGACTTTGTTCGTTCAGCATAAACAAGTTTCAGCTTTCCTTATAGTCTAAGCGGTACATATTAAAAATCGAAAAAATCTGACGAACAATGCAGAAAGCAAGCCATTTGCCATAAACGATATGTATGTCCAATAGATCGATTTGACCCGTAGCACTCCCTTCCCCCAACCTGTGGAATCAATATGGCGGCCATTTAGGAAAAAGCTGTCACTAGCTAAAAAATATATTTTCAAGGATGGCATCTGCGACAAAAAGAACAAAATTCAAGCAATTTACACTCTAATTGGTCATTTAAATATTATTAAAAATACTTCTTCCAGTTAATATTTTTTTTTTCTTTTAATGTCGATCTAAATCATAAAATAATTGTTGGATAAATAATTACAATATTGGTTTTTAAAAAAAATACATTTTACTAATAAAAAGTAAAACCATCTTTAGTTTAAAAATTCGTAGAAGGCCAAGGAGGGGAGATATAAAAAAAAATTTGCGTTATGAGCGATTAGCCTCGCTATGGACCGTTACAAATCAGAGCGAGTGGAGCCGAGCGTATGTCTCATCAAATCCAAAAAGTGTTATCAAAATTAAAAAATCTTGTGTGCAATTATGTGCAGATCTGGATTCAACAAGTTGAATGGAAATTTTCAAAAAAACGTCACTTTGTATAGGTGATGTTTCCAAAAAATAAAAATATTACTCACAAATTAAAAAAAAATGTCAAGTCAGTCTGCTCAATATCGTTTTCTTACCGTACGAAAACTGAAACTGAAAAATTGTCTTGGATGAACAGTGAAAAGTGCGAGGCGAAGCCGAGCTATAGACCGTTACAAATCTGAGCGAGTCGAGGTGGCAGAGAAATTTAATAAAATCATTAAAACATTCAAATCAAAATCAACTAAAAAATCCCCCCCTCGCTACCGAGAGTATCTCTAGGGTCTTCGTTGATTACAAAGAAAGGAAATGAATAAGTGAAAACCTTCCAGGAAATGTGTTCTAATAATATGAATTCTACAATTACATTATAATTTATAGTTCTCAACGTGTACGACAACATCGAAAAATTTCATTATTTTTCATAATAATGTTACAGGAGTATCATATTGGTAAAACATGTACACTGAAAATTAAAAAAAATTTCAACTTTTCAACGAAAAAAATCGTTAAATTTCCCATTATTATGTATTCTTGAAAATGCAAATAAAGAAAAACCAAACATAGCTTTTGAAATTAAAAAAATCAATTTGACAAGAAAAAATGGTCCGATTTTTAACTATTCCGTATTATTTTGAAAACGAAAATAAGGAAAATCGTTGGATTTGAAATTATTCCATATTTTGGAAAGAGTAAATAGTGAAACCAAACTTGGTTATCAAAACTTAAAAAATTCTCAAATTGACCACAAAAAAATTGTTGATTAATAGTTATCTCGTATTTTTGAAAATTAAAACAACGAAACCAGACTTGGATTTTGAAAATGTCAAACTAGTCAACGGCAAAATTCATTAAGTTTTTCCAATTAATCTGTGTGCTTGAAAAAGAAAATAAGGAAACCAAAATTGGTTTTTAATAGTTTTTTTTTTAATTCTCTTCTTGAGAATGAATAATCGTTAGGTTCCAAAGGATTTCCTATGTTTGGAAATGAAAATGAATTTTTAAAAACTCAATTTCCCGACAAAAAATGATCGATTTCTAATTATTCGGTGTTTTTGAAAATGCAAATGACAAAAACAAACTTGTTCTTTTGAAAATTTAAAAAACATTGTCCACTTTTCAACGAAAAAAGTCGTTAAATATTTAATTATTATGTTTTTTTGAAAATGAGAATAAAGAAAATCAAATTTGGTTTATGATAATTAAAAAAATTCTCTTCTTGACAACGAAATTTCAAATTATTTCGTATTTCTAAAAATGGTAACCAAGAAAACCAAATGAAAATTAAAAGAAAAAGAATCCGAGGAAATGATTCTCATTCGCATTCCCTCTCAGTCCTGAAATCGCCTGAGGGAAATTAAAAAAAAATGTCAAGTCAGTCTGCTCAATATCATTTTCTTACCGTACCAAAACTGAAACTGAAAAATTGTCTTGGTTGAACAGTGAAAAGTGCGAGGCGAAGCCGAGCTATGGACCGTTACAAATCAGAGCGAGTCGAGGTGGCAGAGCCGCCGGAGCCGAGCGTATGTTTCATCAAAACCAAACAGTGTTATCATAATTAAACAAGTATAAATTGTGCACAACTCTTGTGCAGATAAAGCGCATTTTTTTAACCGAAATAGCTTTTGTTTTGATATCACCCTCGATATCACCAATGGATATATTTCTTGCAGACGTCTCAATCGCCCTTTGTGAGTACCTACCCTCTTCCGACAATCGGTTCATGAGGTGCGTAAGGGAATATACCCAATCACGATAAGAAGTCGAGGAGGAGGGCTATGGTTGGTAGAAATTAATTCCTTACGTTGAGACTTTTCATTAGAGTACCATGAAGGATAAAACTAATTAAAGCTTAAATTTATTACATTTTGTTTTTTTGACCTCAGATTTGAAATCAGCAACTTCAAATTATCCTTAAAACATTACTCGCATGCCATCCTTGAAATATAAATATATATTTTTTTAGTCAGAAGCAGATTTTTTCTTAAATAGCCGCCATATTGGTTCCACATGGTAGGGGAAGGGGGTGCTGCGGGTCAAATCGATCTATTGGACATAAAAATCGACCATGCCAAACGGCATGCTTTCTGCATTATTCGTCAGATTTTTCTGTGTACCGCTTAGACTATTAGGGATACATATGGACTCCACGGAGATGAGGCCAGCAGAAACGTGTGTGGTACGTGACCAAGTAAGTTACAGGTCACTGGACACGAAAATCCGGGTCGCACAATGGATTCGAATAAACACACAATTGACAATGACAAAAATTTATTCTGAAACACATGAAAAAAAAAACCTTAATTAGATTTCCCCGCACGCAGACGGCCGACAATTAAAATAAGAAATCTTAAAACTACTTCCGTTTTTTCTTAATAATGCAAACAATCTGATCGTACAAGATTTGCGACAATAGGCGCACTTTTATTATTTCTATCTTGTGGTTTTCTATGTCAACCTACCCATTGCTTCAATTGCGATTGTCTGGCTAGCCTCACGCGAATATTTTGAATGTTTTCCATACCAATTTAAACACAGTACACGCTGATATTGTATGATAACGAGTGGCTACTTTATTTATGTTTGGTAAATGTTGCGATATTGTTTTCGTAGACGACAGAAGACGCAACTTCTAGTCAACGTCGGCAGAGTTTGGTTCTTGACAACGGATCATCCGAAACAATCGAACAAGCAAACATGCACAAGCCAAATGATCACGCAAGATCACCTCTAGTCAACTTAGATGAATCGCAAACTGTCGAAGTAACCTACGTCTCTCAACCAACGGCCAGTATTCAAATCTCCAAGGCAAAACCGATTCAGCAAATCGCTGCGCAAACGGTAAACGTAGATAAGATCACGATCACCTCAAACAACATCCACTCAAAGGGGAACAGTACTCCAATCGTTGACGGTAAATTGACAATCAAGCCGATTGCGGCGCCTCGTACTAGTGTAATATGTGATAGCCAAAAACCTCCGGTGGACACGTCACGAAGTCAAATCTCCAGGGTAGACTCTGTAATGAGCAAGTCCTTAAATTGTGTAGACATCGATGGCGATCCTGTGCAATTGCGGAAAACATACGACAATGCTAACGAAAGACCTTCAAAGCCCGTTGTACCCGTACGCCCGCCTTCCCTAAAAACGTCCGTACGGAGTGCCTCGGAAATCATCGACCCGGCGTTACAGCGCACCCAGTGCTCTGTGTACAGCGTCGCCAATAAACAGCAACCGAGCTATGTCAACATTCAGCTGAAAAACATCGACAAATTCCAAGCGGGCCACGACACGCAAATGGCCGAGAAGGAGAAATTTCTGGGCCATCACGTCGAGAAACCCCAGTCTAGGCCCTCCATCGAGAACAAGTGCGGCGACGTTAACTTCAATTTCACCGAGACAACGCGCAGTCGCACGTCGTCGGTAGGTAGCAACAACAGACCCGAAATACCTCCGAAACTGGGCATAATGAAGTCGAATGAAAAGTTAAATTCCGATTCAGTAGAGAAGCTAAACGGAAACACGAAAGCTAGTCATACACGCACACAGTCGGACGGCAACATCGTCGACGCCGTTCTTCCGGGCACGCTGCTTCAAACGCCGCCCTCCCCCCGTAGCCTGAACAAACCGACACAACCTCCGCCGCCGCCGCCTGTCAATCGAATTAAATCAGATTCGGATAGTACTGATTTATAATATGCTCATGAGTTGGTGATTATTATTAGCGATAAGTATATTAATAGAGGGCGCCCTTTGTAGCACCTCTTCACTTTGATATTTTACTCTGTGCGGGAGTGCGTACTACAAGGGCGCTCTGTATTTAAACGTTTTAGTTGACTGAAATTATGAATTTTACAAAAAGTTGTTCTGTGTTAAGTTTAAAATTGTACGCGAGGTGCTGCAATACTTAGGTTGCCAGTAACGGCGGTTCACTCCACTTCAAGTAGTATGTAGCATGGTGCTATGTACACGTTGTTATACCTCTAGGAAATTTAGGCAACTACTTCCGACTTCTATCTTGCCAGAGAAAAAAACCATACTTTGCAGTTCTTCTAATGTATTTCAGTATTAGATCAATCTTTGGCGTCGTTCAATATTATAAATGCACAATGCAATCAATGTTTCGCTTTAGTTGTATTTAAGAGGCTTCAACATGTGTAAAGAAAAGAAAGAATTAAGTAAATTTTTATAAAATATATCGGTAAGGGCTCTTGTAATAGAAGCTTTTAAAAAATTCACGTTTGAAATTGTTGAGAATTTAGCCGATGGAATTTGGCAATTTTTTTTATTTATTATATATTTTAAGTTTTGCTTTTCTTTGAAATGCATTTATTAATATACAAAATGTATGAGATGTTTTAGTTTGTCAAATTTATTTTGTAAACGTTCAATAAATGAAATGTTGATCAACGATGTTTTCTGTATTTTGTTATAGGAAGCACAAACTACGGCTGGCAATGGATACGAATTTTTCGTTTATTGGAATAAACCGGTTTTTTTGCATACATTTTTTTTAACATAGGCCCGTATGCCCCAAAATTTTTCCAAAAATGTTTTTCATTGATCCTCATTCCTCACTTACGTCTTGAAAACATTTTTTTTAACGTCTGTGGTTAATGGTTCTCTTATGCTATAAAAAACCGCTTTTTGTCAACATCTTGAGAGGTTCCACCCTGTATATACAACTTGGGACGCTGCACACATTTTTTAGAGCTGGCAACCACGCAATTTTAGGGGAAAAGCTCTGTGCCATCTATAGATCACGAACGTCAGTGGTTGCGTTTGGCAACTTGAACGAGTTTCAATCTTAGATTTTGAAGTTGAGTTGATTTAACCTTAAATGCAGATTCATGTGTTTGATACCGTTAACCTTTTGTCTGAAATCGCGTTCATTTTTTGTGTAATGTTTACTAAATCTTTGTTTATGTTTCGATTGCATGGTCTTGGCCCCAACTTAGATTTATATTTTTGATCATTCTTTTAAACGTGGAATTTTTTATGTGTATGTGTCTACGAGTAAAAAATAACAGGAGAGAATATAATGATGGTGGAAAATAGCATAACACGCGACGGAAGTCGTCAAAATATCACTTCCTTTGCGCTGGTCAGTTATGTCGACTTGACTTATCATAAAACAGAAGAGACGATGTCATTTTTGTTTTATTACACCACTGCCAATAATGACGCGTTTCTCCCCACTCTTCTCGCACTTTTATCACTTCCTTTTTGTCCATTTCTGTCAAGTCCCCTTTTAATGCAAGGTTCTCCTTTTATTTTTTATTCTTAGGTATGTGTACTTGTTTTGTTTGTAAACTAACTCTCGCTTTGAAGAGACGGTCACGGGGGTGGGGAAAACTGTAACCAAATGAGTTACTGAATACCGGGACTGATCTTGATAGTCAACTGTGGACTCGAACGAGGGGCGAGTTATCTATCCCAGGGGGTGAGGTTCTGCTAATAAAAACCCTTGGGTTTAGAATCTATGTGTGATATATGAGTTGCGATTCA